GGCTTCTTGCTAACTGTTCTTATAGCTTAAATTAATCCATTTCCATAAATCTATACCTTGCCACGTGGCTGGTGGCTTACCGGCATCTTCACATGCTGCTGGTCATGGCGGCGGCTCGCAGTGTCTCTCCGCCTCAGCCTTCCACTTCCCAGAATTCTCCTCTCTCCTTGTCCCACCTACTTCCTACCTGGCCACTGGCCAATCAGTGTTTTATTTACTAACCAATCAGAGCAATTTGACATACAGACTATCCCATAGCAACCTGGTACATTCAGTTGAGGCAGGTCCAAACCTTTCCCCCTGCATCAAGGCTATGCAAGGGTTCCCCCCCATAGTGGGCTCCAAAAAGCCAGCTCATGACCAGGGATGATCTTGATCCTACTGCCAGGGGGGTCCTTAAGAAGATCAAGCTACACAACTGTCTCACTCATGCAGAGGGCCTATTCCAGTCCCATGCAGGCTCCACAGCTCTTGGTCTAAAGTTAATGAGTGCCCACTAGTTTGATTTGGTTGTCTCTGTTGGTTTCCTCATCATGATCTTGATGCCCCTTGCTCACAGAATCCCTCTTCTCTCACCAGCTTTGAAAGAGGATGATTTCCCCTCTAAAGCCTCCAGGAGAACACAGCCCTGTGAAACCCTGAATTCAGCATACCATGATTTGTGCCAGATTTGTTTCTTGGAAAATGGAAAGATAATAACTTTGTGGTTTTCCAAGCTATGAAATTAGTTGTCTTACTTTTGTATTAGTGAGGGGAAATTGATTTTAATTCTTCTTTTGCAATTCTATACATTTAAGTTCTCTCATATAGCTATATTAGATAGTATCTCTAACAAAACATTGTATCATTGTGGAGATAGGTAGCCAAGCTTGTCTCTGAACTGTTTGCACAGAAAGCATTAAAGGAGACCACCATTGTGAAGATACCATATGCTTATATACATATGCATGTCAATGTGTCCTGTTTCAGAAAGAAACAGTATTTACTAATATTCCTTGTTACTTTTATAATGTTGAGCACTCACCTAACAAGAGTAACATATATAAAAATAATGCCTGACTAACCCAATCTAATTGTCCTGCATGGACATGTCAGAATTCAAACTGCAATGAAAGTAAGAGGATCAGAGAGTGAGGAAATGCATGCAGAGGCCATATAGGGCTAGTGCTGAGCAAAGCAGAAACACTGAGTAGAGAGAGATTGTGTGAAGATGAAACTGCCTTTCATTTCTCCAACAGTGTGATTCTCCATAGCAAGCACTGATACATACATACATACAATATATATATATATATATATGTGTGTGTGTGTGTGTGTGTGTGTGTGTATGTATGTATATGTATAGATATATAGATATATACACATATGCTTTGAAAATGTGATAATACAACATCCTAGGTAGTCTAACTATTTATGCTTCTGATATTCTGGAATTTGAACAGTGAATAGCAAGGTATGTTGATAGATGGATATGTCTAATAAGACCCCATTCTCATAATCTGAAATGTTAAAATTAAAGAATGACACAGGAAGAATAAGATCAAGGATTCCAAATAAAAGCTGTCTGTGTCTAGAACTCCCTCTATACACCTGCTATTCTTCATATCTGAAGTAGAGAAACATGTTTTTAACCATAGAAGAGTGGTGGAAATATGGATGTTCTAGAAAGGCTATTAAGAAAATCATCAATAATTTATGCTGAAAATAGATAGGCATAGAAAGTCAGGGCATGGCTGGACACATGAGCTCCTATTCTGAAGCAAAATAATAGGACAATGGCCAAAGATTCACCCCAAATCTTTCAACCTCCTGTTTTGTCCTTGTTCTTTTCTGTCTCTTTCTGTGAAGCACACTCACCGGATTTTTCATTTTACTTCCAATTAGATCAAAGTGCAAAATAAATGTACTAAGACAGACCTACTCACCCATCCTTCCCTCCCCTCATAGCAAAAAAAATTGAGAAGTATATGTGTTTAAAGGCATTTAAAATTCTAGTATTTCCCCCTTAGTTTGAAGTTGAGGGGAAGGATGATAAATGGTAGAATGGAGGCCTATCACAGCCACAGCTGTTGCTGGAGGGCTTCTCTCCAGGTTCCACCAAGCCCCACAGTCCCACAATCCACATATAAAATAATCACTCAGATGCTAATATTACTTATAAACTGTATGGCCATGGCAGGCTTCTTGCTAACTGTTCTTTTATCTTAAATTAACCCATTTTTATAAATCTATACCTTGCCACGTGGGTGGTGGCTTACCGGCGTCTTTACATGTTGCTTGTCCTGGCGGTGGCTGCAGTGTCTCTCCTCCCCTTCTTCCTGTTTCCCCAATTCTCCTCTCTCCTTGTCCCACCTATACTTCCTGTCTGGTCACTGGCCATCAGTGTTTTATTTATATAGAGTGATATCCACAGCACACAGCCACAGTTCTATCAAACTGACTCTCCATTTTTTTTTCTCATGAACCTACAAAATAAATTTCATATAAGGTCTCATTTGTAGTTTTCTTATCAGGGCATTGGTAAAGTTATTAATGAAGTTGAACCAATTCACAAACATTTACAGAATTTCTATACTATTAATTTACATATTAACTTATGTATTGTTTTGGAGGTTTTTTTTTTTTTTTTTTTTTTTTTTTTTTTTTTTTTTTTTTTTTTTTGTGTGTGTGTGTGTGTGTGTGAAGGATTGAACATAGGGCCTGATTCCTGCTAGGTAGGTCCTTTACCACTGAGTTCTATTCCCAATTGTCCTTTCACTTTTTGCTGTGAGACAAGGGCTCATCATTAAGTCACCTAGGTTGACCTTAAACTTACTGTGCACACCAGGTAGAACACGAAGTTGTGATACTTCTCTTGGACACAGATTCCTATGTAGCTAGGAGTACAGGTCTGCGTCATCAAGCCTACCTGTCTATTTTTTTATATGATACTATACATACATACATACATACATATATACATATATAGGTATATATGTAAGACATATTGTCTAAAGAACAGATTATTTGAAATGCAATATGTCTTACTATATATTTTCATAAATATAAGAGCCATGGAAATATTTTCAAGAATGCACTGGTCCACATTACATACAAATTCACAATTCTAAGCATTTACCCTGAGCCCTGTGTCCTCTTGAACAAAGATAGTGAGAGTCTTTCCTAAGTGTCATCATAGCTTTCTTTCTATCCTATAGGCAAGCTAAGAGCTTTTGATCAAATAAAAGATTTTTAAGCTGATTAAATTTATACATGAGTTTTATTGTGACATTTTCACACATGTATATAATGAATTTTGATCATATTTAACCAATTGCCCTCTCTTGACCCCCTCTGAACTCCCACTGACCCCACCCTCCTCTTCCCAATTACTACCCCATATTTTTATTGGTTTGTTTGGTCCAGGCAATAGATTTAGTTTTGCATTTTCTTACTTCTCTAATGAGCAGCAAAGGCAAGTTGGACTTCAACTTCATTTTAAACACTTTCCCTTTGTTTCTAAAATGAGAAAATGTAATGTATGACTTATATTATTCTTGGAAGCTCAAAAATATATATACATTTGTCTAAGATTCAAAATGACATTTCACTTTAATTTAGACTGCTTAATTCTTTAAGAAATCTTAAGGAAGAGAAATTAATCATAGTAGAAAGCAACAGTTTGGCGGAAGATGATAATTTGTTCAGTGTATTTCTTTGTAGGGTCCTAACTAGCTGAGAGGTTAATGATGCTCTCATCTGTTGAATTTCTTGCATTATATGAAAGGAAAGAACAAGAAGGGGGGGAGGCTCTTATAACAAAGAAAAACCCTGGAGTACTTTGGTTTCCATGGAAACTGGAAGAAGAGGTTGTTGAGAAGTCCAAGTCACAAGGTAGAATGGAGAGAGTCTCTAATAAGAATCTCAAATATTTAGGGTATACTGCATCACCTTAGAGAAGATTCTTCAAGTGTCAGACAGGATTACATGTGAAGGATTGAAGTACAGTGGCTCAAAAGAAGGCAGCAAGATAATTCTATGGCTGAAAGGAAACATTGCAAATAAGCTGGCCACAGGGGGCTTTCTGTTGCTAAGAATTTAAGAATTTTAGAAGATGCTGAGCTTCTCTAAGCCTGTACAGCAAACAGCAAGACAGATGGTGAGTTCCAAACTGAAGCCCCACTATAGAAATAATGGGGGCCTTCTTGTTCATTTCTGGACACACAATTGGTCTTGCATCATTTAGTATCGTTGGGACATGGAGATTATCCCACAAACTCTGAGTTATCATACTAAAGAGTCTAACAATGGAAAATGTTTTTCTGTTTTGAATAGCTGGGTATAGCTAGAGTTTTCCTGCCTTGCCCACAGTCATGACAAATCTCTGTCACTTGCCAGCCCCACAGCTGCTCAGACCCAACCAAGTAAACACAGAGACTTATATTGCTTACAGACTGTATGGCCGTGGCAGGCTTCTTGCTAACTGTTCTTATATCTTAAATCAAGCCATTTCTATTAATCTATACCTTGCCATATGGCTCATGGCTTACCAGCATCTTCACATGCTGCTTGTCATGGCAGCGGCTGGCAGTGTCTCCCTCTGCCTTCCTGTTCTCTCAATTCTCCTGTTAGTCCCACCTATACTTCCTGCCTAGCCACTGGCCAATTAATGTTTTATTTATTGACCAATCAGAGCACATACAGCCCATCCCACAGCAGCTGGGTTTTGTTTCTTTAGAGTAAACCGTCAGTAAGTGAACAAGGGTCTGTATTATATGAGTTACTCAGAGAAGTCTTTGTTTTTGTTTGTTTCTTAGTACTTTATCAAAACACTTGTTTAGGGATTGTCAAAAATTAGGAGCTCCAGAAAGATATGTGCTGAGTGATGAATAAATGTGAATCAAATGACATAAAATAGATCAGAATAAGAAGGAAGGCAGAGTGAGCAGAGATTAAATCCA